TCCCACCCAGTGTGAGGTCACGGGGCCCACTCCTGGCCTCCTCCCCTCCTGTAGCTCACCCCTCGCCCTTCAGTTCACACATTCCCCAAACAACAGAGTCAGTGCGGTGGATGACCACTCAATGACCGCCACATTCCAACCAACCCTGCTCCCCTGACATGCAGCAGGGAGGTCAGTTTGGATGGGCTGGTGTTTCCAAGCTCTCTATCTATTCACAGAACGTTTTGATTTGTTCTCAAATAAGGTCAAACCTTACAAAATTGTTTCAATAGGTCAAAAACAGTCTAATAGTGGCAACCTCATATGGTTCAACTAACAGTAACCCACACCCACTGGGTGGGTTTAATGAGTCCGCCTGCCTTTCCCAAGCCCTGGCGGTGGGTGGGTGGGTGTGCCTGGGGGGTGCGGATAGGGTGCATGGAAACAAGCTCTCCTGGGCAGTCACTGGTGTCTGAAGCCTCATCCCTCTTACTGGCCATGAATCTTCCAACTAGGACCTTCCTGCTAGGGATAAAATAAGGAGGGACTCAGGGTTGAGGAAGGGAGGAGGTTGAGTTCTTTGTCATGTATGACAGAGTTAGCATGTGTTCAGAAGCCAACAAGGAAACCCGTATAGTCCATGGTCTGAGTGTTCCTATTTATGTGGAAAACTGAAGATTAATGGAGATACTTTTTGTTTTAGAAGCATTGCTAAATGCTTCTGTGATGCAGGCTGTATGCACGCCATCGCTCCTACCTCCGAGAGTTTTCAGCGTGTTATAACTGCATGCACACGAGTGTGTCTACTTCCAGCTGCCAGCCTACTGCACAAGAAGCTCTGCAAGGGTAGGGCCTAACTCCTCACATAGGACCTGGCATAGAGTAGTGCTCATTAAACACACGAATGAATGAATGTAGCTAAATGACAAATCATGGGACTAGTAAGAAGGTGTCAAACATCACACCAAACAAAAGGACTCTGGGCCAGGAAACCACGCTGTCTGTGGAGAAGTCAGAGGAGACCTCCCAGAGGAGGTGACCCATAAATAGCCACACCCAGCAGGAAAAGGACTGAACAGCTCAGGCAGTGAGGAACCACAGATGCAAAGAAGGATTCTAGCCACCCATTTCCTGGTGAGCTCTTTGGCCAGCATGAGCTGCATTCCTTTGAGCTGAGCAGGAGTGGAATTTCCAGCCTAGGTAGCAGAATGGAACTTGGAACAAACAGCTCAGCAGAAAAGAACCCAGGGACAATGAGGCTGGGCACAGCCACCCTTTGAAGCTCCTGAGCTCACAGAATACTGGAGCTCAGCGGCCTTGTCGAGGGAGACTGTGTCATCAAAGGCCCCCGGCTGGAATGCCTACATTCAGATAGCACCGGACCCCGTTGAAGACATGCCGAAACACCTGGGAGAGAGATCTGCGACCTCATCACTCAGCTTTCCCTTCTAGCAAGGACACGGGAAGGTCTGTTTTGCTTTAAGGACGGGCAAGGTGCAAACACATGAGAAGGTAGAGCTGGAAGGTAGAGCAAACCAGAGCTGGAAGGTGCTTCAGAGAAGGGGGCCAGGTAATGATGAGGGTCGTGGTGACGACGGGATTCAGGGTGCTGGGAAACCACGTGGAGGGGGGTGGCAAGGGCACTTAAGAGGAGCAACCGGTGGGAATAGATGCTCTCAACTTCAGAGAAGGAGATTTTTTTTTAAAGAATTATTTTATTTAACTTTATTTATTATTATTATCATTATTATTTTTCAGTTTGATCAGAGAGAGACAGAAAGAGAGGAAGTGAGAAAAGCAAGCCACCAGGTCCGAGACTTGAACTGCGGTCGGCCATGTGGGAGTCCAGCGCCTTTAACCACCATGCCACTTGCCGGCCCTCAGAGAAGGAGATTAAAGGAGGAAGAGAGAGCTTCTCGGAGGAGAGAATAACGACAGACACTTATACAACACGAAGACACTGGTCCCTCCTGGCCTGACCTGAATGTCTTCCACACCATCAGGTTCTGGAGCACGCCATCAATCACACGGTGCAGCGTGGTGGGAAGCTCTGCTCAGCCCTCACCGCTGCCCCTCTGCACTTCCTCCAGTCACTCACTCCTTCAAGACAATGATTGTCTGATGGGACCTGAGAACAGGAGGACTGCATTCTGGTCCTTCTTAGCTACATGTTCTCTTCTACATGATAAGGGAGTTGAATGTAGGAATCACAAATGATTCAAGTAAAGCACGCTTATTTTAAATCAGGCACGCTGCCATAGATACAGCGAAACGGATGCTTCCTAGAGGAGAAGAGCGACAGAATGGAAAGAGAATGAGAAAAGAAAGGGGAGGGAGAGATGGAGAGAAGAAAGGAGAGAAATAAATAAGAAAAGCAAGGAGGGAGGAAAGAAAGAAGAAAGAAAAGACATCTGGCCAGAAGTATTCAGGGACAGGTGGGCAGCACTAAGTCTGGCTGCATCACAGAAGGGTGAGTGGTGTCACAGAGGAGACCTAGGGACCCATCCCGGGGGGTTGGGAGCAGCTATGTTTGGAGACTAGGACGGCGTTGCTGGCACAGGCTGTGTCCTCGATTTACTTCTTTGGCACACTCAGAACTTATTTCATTAATAGTAGCAGAGGCGGGGGAGTAGGAAAAGATACTTTTTTCTTTTTTTTTAAAGAGAGATTTTTTTGCTATAGGGCGTGAACACTTGCTGGAGTGACAGAGATAAAGAGACAGAAAGCAAGAAATCACCCCCCACAATCCCCTCTCCTCCATTCTCCTCTTGGGATTTTGGGCACGCACGCACAGATGCCCAGTATAAGTTTTAAGCCACCGGCTCTCGGACTCAAACTGTGGTCAACTACGTGGGAGTCCACTGATGTAATCACTACACTATCTGCTGGTCCCAAAGATACATATATATTTTTTCACTATAGGGCGAGTGAGCTCGCCAGATAGACAGAGACAGAGAGACAGAAAGCGAGAAATCACCCCCCAGGATGTCCATGCCGCAATCCCTTCTCCTCCATTCTCCTCTCGGGATCTTGGGCACGCACGCACATGCGCCCGGCGTGAGTTTTAAGCCACCGGGTCCGGGACGAGAACCGCGGTCGACTACGTGGGCGTCCAGCGACATAGCCATGACGCTAACTGCTGGTTCCCCCAAAGATACTTTTTTATGGGGAAATTGCAAAGGAAAAGACAAAGAAGTTGCTCCATTTACTGGCTGGGTTCTATCTACCCCATGGGGCTTCTGAGTCATTTCCTCAGTGGTTGTGGCAGCTGTCCTCTGCCCTTGGAAGAAATGGAAAGTTCAAATCCTTACATTGGACCATCTTTTTTCATGCACTGTACAAGGATGCATTCTATTCTCAAAGCCCCAGGGTCTTACGCGATTGCAGCGAGAGTGTTCCCCATTAGTCTCTCTCCTCTCTGGGAAGAGTACATGCCCTTGGCAAAAATCATTTATCAGGGACCAGCAGCTGACATAATGGCTCTGTCGCTGGACTCCCACATAGTTGACAGCAGTTCAAGTCCCTGACCCAGTGGCTTAAACTCACGCTGGGTGCGTGTGCATGTGTGCCCAAGATCCCAAGAGGAGAATGGAGAAGGGGTTGTGGCGTGGCCATCCCCCCTGGGGGTTGATTTCTCCCTTTCTGTCTCTCTGTCTCTGTCTTTTTGGCGAGGGCACACACCCTATAGCAAAAAACATTTCCAAATAAATAAAATTGATTTTTAAAAAAATCATTTTGGGGCCAGTAGGTGGTATGGCGGTTAAGGTGGCCGGATCCCACCTGGCTGACTGCAGTTTGAGTCCCAGGTCCAAAGCAAGTGTTTGTGTGCCCGAAATCACCAAGAGGGAGCAACGGTGGGAAAACGGATTGCGATACGACCATCTCCCAAACAGGGTCCTTTTTCACACACACACACCAGGCCAGCTCATGCTTCCCCTAGCAAGTTAAAAGAAATAATAAAAATCATTTATCTCACATCTAACGCCGCCCTTAAGCATGGCGCTGGTGTGCTAACAGGTTCTCTCCCCTCCCCCAACACCTTGCAAAGACTCCTTATTTTACAGACGAAGAGAAAGAACGCAATTTATTTAACTTGACCTTGGTAGACGCATCTACGAGAGGGTGGAGTTCAGACAAAACTAATTCCCTTCTAGATACCTACTAGTTTAACTAGCGATCTTTCGGTAAATGGGATCTAAACGGCAAGGGCACTGCCCTCACATTTGAAACCACTATCCCCACAAGAGGAAACGGCTGTCAGCCCAGAGACGCGTGGGTCGGAGGCGAGCAGAGGGGACAGCACAGCCCTTACACAGCCGGCTTAACACAGCGTCCTTCCGGCTCGCGAACGCACAACGATGACCAGGCCAGAGCTCGGGGAGCCCAGACGCACGTGTACCCTGCGCATGCGCCCACACGGGACCCGCCCACCCCTCCGGCTGGACCTCTTTAGCCGAGTCACCAACCAGCCCTCTAAGC